ACCCAGGGAGCCAGAGGCATTATCCATCACATGGGCACTGTTCAGGACCCAGAGGGAGAGGAACGATAGCTTTTTGGTGAAGCCAATTGAAGTGGCCAGTGCTCTCTCCTCATCGAACCTTCTGGGCCCACAGCCCACTTAAGGGCTTCCTATACAGCCACACTGTTTTCTGGCCCCTCCTCCTCCTACACGGAACAGGTGTTTGCCAAAGTGCAAGGCTGCGAACAGCAGAGCCATGACAAAACTCCAGAGTTTTTGACTGTGTGTGTGTGTGTGTGTGTGTGTGTGTACAGGTGTGTGTGTGTGTGTACAGGTGTGTGCACATGTGTAAGCTTTTAAACATGGAGGTCCAAAGTGTTGAATGCCTTCTTCAGAAAATCTCAATCATATATATATATATATATATATATATATATATATTTTTTTTTTTTTTTTTTTTTTTTTGTTTTTCGAGTCAGGGTTTCTCTGTGCAGCTTTGCGCCTTTCCTGGATCTCACTCTGTAGACCAGGCTGGCCGAACTCACAGAGATCCACCTGCCTCTGCCTCCTGAGTGCTGGGATTAAAGGCATGTGCCACCACTGCCTGGCCTCAATCATATTTTTTAAAAAGATTTTATATTATTATTGTTGTTGTTGTTATCATTGACAGGGTCTCACTATCTAGCTCTAACTGGCCTAGAACTTGCTGTGTAGACCAGGCTAGCAATGAACTCACAGGGATGTCCTGCCCCTGTTTCCTGAGTGTTGGGATTGCAGATATGCACCACCACACTCGGCAATTTTTTTTTAAGAGATTTATTTATTTATTCTGTTTACAGTGTTCGCTTGCATGTGTCCCTTCAGGCCAGAAGAGGGCACCAGATCTCATTACAGATGGTTGTGAGCCACCATGTGGTTGCTGGGAATTGAACTCACGACCTCTGGAAGAACAGCCAGTGCTCTTAACCTCTGAGCCATCTCTCCAGCCCTTGGCAATTTTTATTAGAATTAATTATGGGTATGTGTGTAAGTATGGTGCACACGAGTGCAGATTCCTACAGAGGAGGGATCTAGAGTTACAGGCGGTTGTGAAGCCACCTGACATGGACACTGGGAATCAAACTCAGATCCTTTAAACGAGAATAAACAAGCTCTTAATCACTGAGCTATCTCTCTGGCCCCCTTGTTGTTGTTGTTGTTGTTGTTGTTGTTGTTGTTGTTGTTACTATTATTGAAATAGTGTCTCTCACTGGCCTAGAGCTAGCTAAGTAAGTTAGGGTAGCCGGCTAGTGAGCATCAGGGACCCATTGTCTCTGCCTCCCCAGCACAGACTAGACACACGCTACCCACCTGGGTTTTTGCACTGTACTGGCTGATCCAGCCTCCCCGTCCTAAGTTCCAGAACGTATATTGAAATACTCTCTGGTTGGTCTGCAGCTGCTTCACAGGAGACCTCGACCCACCAGTGGACTCCACTCCTTCTAGGTACACAGGACAGCCAGTGGTGGCAAGTGAGGAAGCTGAACTGAAACCAAGGTTGGAATCCTCATTTTGTTGCTGATGAGCTTTGTGATAACGGACAAGCTGTTCCCCTTCTTGAGCCTCTATTCACTACCAGGAAGTAATGATACCTACTGAAAGTCTGTTGCCTATGCACCAGTATAGTTCAAGTGGTTCTGGAAAAGATCAAACTACTTCCAAACTACTTGGTAAACAGATGGCCATAGCCTTTGGTACCCATCACTTCTACTTCTCCTTTGTCTGTCCCCACTTGATCCAAGAAGCCACGTGTTAACTCTTGGCCAAACAGAGAGTTGAGACCTTCATCAACCCTAAAGCCACCATCCACCATGGCTGGTTGTCTTAGGGTTTTTGTTGCGGTGATAAGGCACTATGACCAAAATCCAAACCAAAAAAACCTTGGAGAGGAAAAAGTTTATTTCAGTTTACAACTCTCAAGCCACAATCCACCACTAAGGTCAGGGCAGGAACCTGGAGGCAGGACTGAAGCGGAAGCCATGGAGGAACACTCCTTTCTGTCTTGCTCCTCAAGGCTTGCTCAGTCTACTTTCTCACACCCCCCAGGACCACCTGCCCAGGCATAGTACCACCAACAGTAAGCTGGATCTTCCCATGTCAGTCATTAAGAAAACACTCCTAAAAGCTTGCCAAGAGGACAGTCTGGTGGGCACATTTTCTCAGTTGAGGTTCCCTCTTCCCAAAGGATTCTAGCTGTGTCAAGTTAACAGAACACTAGCCAGCACACTGGTAGTGTAAGAACCTAAGTGGGTTGTTGCCCTGTTTGTTTGTTTGTTTGTTTGTTTGTTTGTTTGTTTGAAGACAGAATTTCTCTGTGTGGTCCTGGCTGTACTGGAACTCACTATGTAGACCAGGCTAGCCTCAAACTCGATCCACCTGCCTCTGTTCCCCAAGTGCTGAGATTAAAGGCATGTACCACCACTGCCCAGCATTATTGCCTATTTTTAATATCGCCCTCGAGTGTGGTCATCTTTGAGACTGAGATAACACAGGTAAAGAACAGCAGAGTCTGAGAACTGGGCAGTGGTGGCACACGCCTTTAATCCCAGCCCTTGGGAGGCAGAGGCAGGCAAATCTCTGAGTTTGAGGCGAGCCAAGTCTACACAGAGAAACCCTGTCTCAAAAAACAAAAACAAAAACAAACAAACAAACAAACAAACGAACGAAAAACACTGGTAGAGTCTGGCACACAGTAAAGCAACTCAGTCCACACCAGCTGTAACTACTTTAAAGAGCAAACCCCGGGACAGGAGCTCAGGGTCAAGCACTGTGAGCAGGTGCAGATGGGTTGGGATTGGCAGTTCAGGAACAGTACGGGGTTCCAAGATGGTTCCAAGGCAAGGCTGCCTAGGCAGTCTGATCCAGGAAATGGGTATAGTCAGGACAGCCACATACTGGCCCCTTCACAGTTGAGAACGACTCTCTGTACTTACTACTGCCTCCTCTCTGTGATGCTGGGGTGTCTCATTTCTCCAAGACAAGCATCTCCTAGTAGACTTTGCCTTTCAAAAACCAAAATTCGAATCTATGTTCACGTTATGCTTTGAACATGAAATAGCTCTCAAAAAGGTTGTACATTGAAGGTTTGCTCCTTAAGGCCATGTTCAGAGGAAGGACTTTTGGAAAGCAATTTTACCTTGAAGGCTTTACCTAATTGACGGATCCATCGATGGATTATTGTGTTGTTTTTAAGGGAAGAACTTCCACGTTTTCATTTACAGGAAGACTTTTACAGCTTCTCTTTGTGACACCCGCATCACCAACATTACTGTTCTGGTTGGGACTATTAAGTAAAAGAAGAATTACTTAAACATGCTCACTACCATAGCTGGTCTCAGTGACTAGGGGGCAGATGGTGTAGACAGAATGGACATGCTGGACAAGCGGATGGCTAACAGGACAGAAGGCTAGAAGGGAATGGCAGGGAATGTCGTGATAGCAATCAGAACAGCCCACAACTTAAAACTTATTGATTCCACATTTCTGGAATTTTCCATTTGGTGTTTTGGGGCTTCAATTGACTGCAGGGATTGGGAATTATGGACACTAAAGACACAAATAAGGATGGACTACTGTAAAGCTCTAGCACAAAGTCATCTTTCAACAAAGTAAGCTATTGTTTAGGGGCTCAGGAGTCCAAGAAAAGCCCTCAGATTCATGTCCCTATAACTCTAAAACAATGATACTTTATTCATCCTCCTTCTCAAATCTCCCACTGCTCCACTGAGTCTCTGGTACCAGCTCCCACATTTTACAGACTGGGAGGTCCAGGGTGAAAAAGGACTTGCTTGAGATCCTATGAGGGGCCCTAGAAACAACCAGTCTCCTATCTGGCACTGTAGAGCCCCTAACCCTTTGTTACAACCCCAGAGAGGAGGCATACCCAGATGCTAGGAAAACGGGACAGTGCACCCGGTTTAAGAGGTAATGGGATGGCTCATGAGGAAGACAAGTGTCCCACTGGTTTCCCCTCAGTGTGCTTAGTTTCCAAGACCAGTGCCAAAAGCTGGACCTTTGCTGGTGGCAGGCCTGTCCCCATCCCCCTATGCACTGCCCATCTCTACATTTGCTGCTTGGACCGAAATGCCGCCTCTTCTCCGCGGCTCTTCAGCATCTGCAATCCCATTTAACCAATCCCCACGCGTCCGGCCCCCACTTTTGATAGATCCCTTGAAGTCCCGCCTCCGCACGTGGCCCAGCCCAGAGATCTCTGCTCTCTTTCGTTTGGCTTTAGAGCGCTCCTTTCCACCACCTTGGGTTGCAAGCTCTCAAACACCAGTACATCTCTGGCGGCTGGGCGGGCTGTGGGGAGACCCCCAAGTACGGGAAGGAGGCGTTTTCGCTGCCCTGAAACCTTCCAGACCCGCTCAGTGTAAACCGCCTCCGGTTTGTGTCAACATCCGAGGCCGGAGACTGGCGGCGGCTGGGAACCGGCTCCATCTAAGCAACGGGAATGCGGGAGGGTGGGGAATGGAGCGGTTCTTGGGGGTACGTAGAAGGATCCTTCTGGAGGGGGAACCAAAGAGTCCTTTTGGGGGTCCTCGAGAAGTAAGGCTAGGGCTTGAGAACGGATCTGATTAAGGTTGTAGGAATGGCTGGCGGGAGCCCACGCCCTCATGTGTCTAGGTGGAAGGTTCTTCCCCATCCACCCAGTTTTGCTGCACCCACCCTCCCCTCTGCTTCATGGTGGGTAGTGGTGAGGGGGGAGGCGCTGGTGCAAAGGCCAGAGCTCCTGACCACCCAATCTCCTCTTTCCTTCACCCTGCCACTCTGCGGCTCCTCATTGATTCCCTCCAGGTTCGGGTAGGACACGGGATGGGGTCGCATCTTGTGAATCACCAACTCTCCTACCCCCACCCCCGCTGGGCCCCAGGAAGAGAAGGCTTAGAGATTCAACTGTGGTTCTTCTGTTCCCATAGCAACGGTGCGGTTGTTTTTTGCGAATCCACTTTAATCATCCGTACTTTTCGCTCCAAACTGTGACCCAGGCTCTGAGCCTCAGGGTTGAGGGACAGATGGGGGTGCAGCCCTCTACAATCCTGGCGACTCGGGGAAGGTCAGCGCGGGCGGACGGGCGGGGCGCGCTGTTGTGGCCCAGACTCACAGGCCACCCCATCCCCACCTGAAACTCTGGCTGTCACTCGGTGCCAGCTGAGCCTATCGATGTCCAAGGTTCTTGAGAGGGGGCGGGCCTTATGCAAATCGTGTCGCCTTCGAGAAGCACATAGTGATACAAGAGCTCGGGAGGCGGCTCCAACGCGGACCTTACGGAGCCCGGCGTCCGCCTGCTAGCCAGCCTGGTCCCAGCGGCCGCCCAGGCTCGGAGCCATCCAGCGAGTCAGCGAGCGGCCTCAGGTAATGCGGGTAGGGCAGGGACCTCGGAACAACCCCGCGGGGCGGAGGCCCTGAGCCCCTCCTCCTCCGCGTTCGCCTCCCAACCTCCGCTGCTCAGATCCATCTTCCTGACCCTGGGTCTGTTCAGAGGTGGACAGCCATCTGGAGGGCCCGCCTTGGGCAAGGGACCACCTTCACTTCAAGCCGGGTCCCCTGTTCAAGGAAGGTGGTACGGCTGCCTCCTTACTCCCAGCTCAGGTAAGAACAACCATTCCTCAGGGCCCAGTGCAAACACACACACACACACACACACACACACACACACACACACACACACGTGGGGGTGTGGTGTTGCTGGTCTTAGCGGAGGTTTCAGTCACCCTGTCTCCGGTGGCCTCTGGAGATGGTGGTCTGCCTAGCCCCGTGGGAACCTCTACCTGGAGGTAGCCCACACGCACACCAACAGTTCGGTCATTCACACCTCAGGGTCCTGTTCCCAAAGATACCTCCATAGCAAATTTATTCTCTGATCACACTACCTCTGCCCTTATGCTGACGAAGACCCCCAATGTCCTACCCCAGGCATATTCAGCAGCTCCCCTCTAGTAGCCCCCAACTAGACAGAGATCCCATGTTCCGCCTCTTGTCCTCTCTGGAGCATGAGCAAGGGATGCTCCTTCCAGGAGACCACCCCATGGCTCCAGTCTCCATACCTCCCTAACTCCTCCTTTCTCTGTAGTCGGCTGTCCTCGGCCCCCTTTGTGCCTAGTTGCTCCCTCTCTCAGCTTCCCGTTGTTTGTAGAGATGAAGCTCTACATCGTCTGGGTGGACTTGCTTTCTCCTTCCCCTGAGTCTGAACCTGGAAGGAGAGGAGTCTGGTGTAACTCTTGCCTTTGCCTGTGTCGCCGCTGGACTTTAGCCAAGTCTTTCCCCTCTCCGATTTCCTCATGAGCTGGGGGAAAGAGCGCGGCAGAGGAGGATTAGACGAGGTGGTCTTGAACAACCTTCCAACTCTGACATACTCTGGTTCCACGGCTGATTATAGGAAAAAGAAAGCTTAAACCATTAGGATATTTCTCAGAGGAGATCACTGGAGGGGCATCGTTTTTACTCAGGCCTCCTACACACCCTGCAGGGTCGTTCTCTTAAGGATCTTTTCCAGACCACCAGACCACCCTGGCATGAAAGCTCCAACCTGGAGCTGGCCAACCCAGCTCACATCGCAGGGGTCACTTTTGCCTCTTATTATGAAGGGGAGGAACAAGACCTGGCTGTTACTGCCATTGCTGCTGCTTGGAGAAAAGCAAAGGGAGGAGAGGGAAAGAGAAAATCTCCTGACCAGGGAGCTGCTGTCACCATGGCAACCGCCTCAGCACCAGCTCCTCCGAAGCTAGGCGAGGGTGTGGGATTATTGCCTCCTTCAGGCCCTCCTACCTTCTCTTCCACCTCTCCACTTGAACCCTGGCCCTGAGCCCTCTAGAGAAGCCCCTGAGCACAGAGGGGCAGAGGTTTAGAGCAAGGGATGCCTCCTCAACTGGAGGGACAGTCTTCCAGAAGCCACCACCACTCCAGCAGAACATGCTCCCAACTAGGCTCTGGTCTTTGCTTTGCAGCTGATGGGCTCCAGTTGACCTTGGGTGAACCTTTCCTTTCCCTGACTCTGGCTTCCATTGTTTCTGAAGTAGGCTTGATAGGAGATCACAGATAAACAAAACAGTGCGACATAGTACCACGAGGGCATGCTGCTCTTCTCTCACAATCTAAGTGCCATTCACTGAACATGACTTCATCCTAGGCTCTGTCTTCAAGCTTCCGCAGGATGCTCATGTGCAGGCACCGAGGGAAAGCAGGAACCTATGGGAAGAGCTTCCAGAAGACAGACAGGGACAATGGGGGAAAGGCACCATTTCCCCTGTCCAAGATGCTCAGAAATAGTCAAAGTTGTGTTGGAAGGGGAAGTTTTTACTGTTGAGCAGAAAGACCTGGGGAGTCTCCCTGTTTCAGGCAGTACAAAGGCCTCCCTTGGCATCCTAGATCATTAGCTAAGGGTCAGGAGATGGTGTGTGTGGGAGGGTTTCACGCCATAGCCTCACAAGGTCTGCCTATGCCCGGAGTGCTGAACCCATGCTCTTGCCTGACCACTGCCCAGTTTAGAATGGGCGGATTGCCAGGAAGCAGGTGGCAGTGAAGAAGTGAAGGCAGCTTGTGTCTGCCCAGAAAAGAAAGGGCGGAGGGAGAGACACTATTTAAGCACACAGGTGAGGAGGGGTCTGGCCCTGAGATGCCTGGCTCAGGGGGAATATGTGGTGATGAGGAGAGCAGTGGGTGGTGAAGATCAACAGGTGGTCAGCTTGAAAAAAGATTCTAGATGATTCTGGAGTTTCAGAGGGTCTGGTCATGAGTGTGTGTGTGTGTGTGTGTGTGTGTGTGTGTGTGTGTGTGTGTATCTCTACCCTAGCCTTGAGGTGAGATTCTAGAAGATCCTGGAGCTTCAGAGTGTCACCTAAACCCTACACTGTAACTAGGGGAGATGGTCCCTTGGAACAGAGGTGTCAGGAGGAAGGCCCTTCCTGCAGGGCAGGTGAGCCCTGTGACTATGGGCCTGGCTTGGCAAAGAGCTTTGGCCAGCCTTCAGCACTGTGAGCAATATCCCTGCTCATGGACATAGAGAAGGTTCCAGGAGCATTTCAAAAGGAAAAAACAAGAGACCCTATGGCAAGCTGGGCCTGGAGAAAAGGGGGAAAAATCTGAGAAGTCCATAGAGTCTGTTTCCTTCTCCATATACCCCACACCCAGAGGTGAAGGAGGGAGGGAGAGAGACAGAGACAGAGAGACGTGGGGGCAGAGAAGAGGTTCAAGGTGAGGCTGAATCTGACTATAGCTGTGCTGACTCAAAGTTGCTTGTGAGCATCCACTAGGAGGGATCGACACTTTCTGCCTATCAGAGATTGTGGGCTGCAGCTCAGGCAAAACGGTCCCACTGAGATCACAAGGTCAGAGCTGTTTTTCCCAGAAGGCAGGTGGGGCTAGAGAAGGTCTGTGCTGAGAAAGTGGTCATGATGTAGAAAGGACAGGTCGAGCAGGCGGTCGGGATTCAGCCCGGATGCTCAGCGGACCTCCTCAACAGGCTGCCACTCTCGTTGAAGCCACTACTCTCTCGGTTTTCTTTCTTTTGCTGAAATAAGGGCATGATCTCCAAGGGGGCTGTCTACTTAGACTTTCTGACAACTGAAGAGAGATGAGGGGGGTGTTTTCTGGTCCTCGCTGGGTCTAGGGCCAAGTAGGGGCAGGGCACAGGCGAGGACCCTGAAGACAGAAGGGTGAAAAGGTAGCAGAGAAGAAAAAAGAAAGGGAGCAGAAGGCGAGGACCACACAGACACCATGACACAGAGAGACGAGTGTTCTCTGACAGATTTGCAGCCTCATACGTTGACACCCTCCTACACATAGACCCAGCCCCTCGTGCAGACACTCAGGCACATCCTACAAGAGCCACGGGAGAAGTTCTGCCTCCCCCATCAGACACCTTTGCTTCTGGGTTTTCTAACTTCCTTACGCCTTGAGCTTACACAGTCATTGGTGGAGGAGGCAGCTGAGGATGGTCCCTCACTTCTGCCTCCCGGTGGTCCAGAGGCACCCTTGACTCTGACCCTGGTGCAATTCCAAGCGCCTCCTGGGCTTCTCCTGTAGATTCTTCATCTTCTGAGGGTGGTAGGTTTGTAGCTAGGGAAGGATGCTACCACCCTCTCGACCCCTTGATCTCATGACCCAGAAGAGGATCCTGAGGTCCAGAGATATCCCGTAACGGGGTCCATCTGCCTTGATTTCTGAGTTCATCTCATCCCTAAATCCAGCCAACAAGGGCTGCCCCCTTTTAGCACCTCTCAGTCCATCCACATCTCTCCATTTCAACTGTGTGCCAAGCCCCCTCCTTGTACAGCTCACCACTCTCCCCCTCAATCGTCTTTTATTAAAGATTTGTTTTTATTATTTTTAATGATGTGTAGGCTGTGTTTCTGCCTATGGGTATACACCCATGAGTGCAGGTGTCCTGGGGGCGGGGGGCGGGCAAGAGGTGTCAGATGCCCTGGAAATTGTTGTGAGCCGCTTGACATGGGTACTGGGAACCAAACTTGTAACCCTCTGGAAGAGCAGCAAGTGCTCTGAGCCACTACGCCATCTTTCCAGCTCCACCCTCAAGTCATCTTGCACATTGCAGCCAAAGGAAAATTCAAAAAAAAAAAAAAAACCCTCTGGATTTCTAGGACGTAGATCAGGACCTGGCATATTGTGAGCGTCCTGTGTTATGGAATGAATGTTAGCTTCCAAACTCTTGTTCTAAAACCTCCAGGTTGGCATGGATTGAAGGCTCTTTGTAGACAGTCATCTATCTCTAGAAACCTCTATGAGCTACTGAAGGCTGGCTTATCTTAGCTTTATCTTCATACCAAGTTCAGGCCCCCAACAAATGCTCAGGGAGTGAATGGGTTAATGAAAAGCAAAAAACGTAATCAGGGTCATCACTGCTCCAGGCTAGGACTTCTATTTGTACACAGGAAGGAAGGAGAGATGCTTCCTGTGTGGGCCCTCCAGGAAAGCCTGAAGGAAGAACTTGGGAAATGGTTCCTGGGGGACCTTGGTAGGAGAGGAGTCTACCCGGGAGGGGGGTGGTGCTGAATGGAGACAGCCCTTGCTATCAGGAAGATTAGCTGAGGCTTTATGCTAGGGACCTAGGGAATTATAAATGATGGGAGATATGAGGATGAAGATTGGGCCATACTGGACCACAAGTCACTGAGGGGGTCAGTTGCCACCAGGAAAGGCTGGAAATGTCCTTCCAGGAGGGGTCTGCTCTGGGGTGCAGGGTGTTGTGAGGGGAGAGAGAGTCCTGCTTGAGAAAAGTTCACCCAGTGAAAATAGGCTTCCTCTGAGAAGGGAGGCTGAGCGTGGTGAAAGAAGGTGGGGCTTGGCTGATGTGGGTGGCTAGGGAAGTGGGGGAGTGTTAGGGAAAGAGGGAGACTGACTTTAAGAAGAAGGGCTCCTTACGGGAGGAGGAGTGTGAAAAAAGGTCCAAGTTGGGCGAGGGTGGAGCACCACTTGGCCGGGGTGAGGCCATGTTGAGGGAGCTGTCTGTCCCGCAGGCCCACCATGGGGAAGAACAACAGCAAGCTGGCCCCCGAGGTGCTGGAAGACCTGGTCCAGAACACAGAGTTCAGCGAGCAGGAGCTAAAGCAGTGGTATAAGGGGTTCCTGAAGGACTGTCCCAGTGGCATCCTCAACCTGGAGGAGTTTCAGCAGCTCTACATCAAGGTGCCGGGTGGGGAGTGGCATGGGGTGGGGGGAGTGGACGGGTACTGGGGACCTGAAAGCTGGTGGAACTCAGAAGGATAGGGGTAGGCGGGGAGGGTGGGACTGTCGCTGCTCCCCAATAACCCGTATCCCCTGCCTCAGTTCTTCCCTTACGGAGACGCCTCCAAGTTTGCACAGCATGCTTTCCGCACCTTCGACAAGAACGGCGACGGCACCATCGACTTCCGGGAGTTCATCTGCGCCCTCTCTGTCACCTCCCGCGGCAGCTTCGAGCAGAAGCTCAACTGGGCCTTTGAGATGTACGACCTGGACGGCGACGGGCGCATCACGCGCCTGGAGATGCTGGAGATTATCGAGGTGCGGTGGGGCCAGTGGGGGCGTCCGGTATTCTTGAGCCTCAGGAGTTTCCTAGACGCTCCCCAGCGTTCTCCCACCACAGTTCTGCAGGCCCCTTGCTGGATGTTTAACCCGTGGAGTAGATGGTGTCAGGTACTCCATTTTCCCAGATGAACAAAGGGTAGCATGTGGCTGCCCTCAGTGAATCAAATCTAGGGTAGCCAAGTTAATTCATTTGGTTTTCTAAGAAGCTAAGTATTGAGGTCTGGAGAGATGGGTCAGCGTGTAAAGGTGCTTGCTGCCAGGTCTCACGACTTAAATTTGACCCTGGGACCTCACACGGTAGAAGGAGAGAACCATTTCCTACACGTTTGTCCTCTGACCTCAGACAGACCATGGCGCTCTCTCTCTCTCTCTCCTCTCTCTCTCTCTCTCTCTCTCTCTCTCTCTCTCTCTCTCTCTCTCTCTCTCAATGTTTGGCATTTTTTTAAAAATTTTGCTTTAAAAAAATATTGAGTGTCTGACATGTGCTTTCATAGGAGATGTCTAGTAAATCAGAAAGTAAATTTGGGTCATGCCAGGCAGTAAATGGTATAAAAAAAAAAAATAAGCAAAGTAAAGGAAGAGAGCATGATGGAGGAAAATGGGGGACGCTGACTCTAAAGACTGCAGAGTGAACCACCCACGCAGGTGAAGTTGTGTTTGCATGGCTCCGGGTGTGGTAGGAGGCCAGGGCAGTAGTGGAAGTGTGAGCGGAGGGGAGAGGGACAGAAAATGGACCCACAGGGAGCCAGGAGTCCCAGCAGTGGCTCAGGCCTGGATAGAGGCATTGAGCATATTCTGCGTGTGGATAGCAGATGATGGAGGACATCGTGGGCAGCAGAGGCAGGGAGACCAGTTAGAAGACTTCTGAAGAAATCCAGTCAGGAGCTGGTGGAGGCTGCCTTCGTGCATGCACTGTGGAAACAGTGGGAAGCAAGTCGACATAGGGCCCATCACAGAACTGGAGTTGGAATATGTTGCTGAAGGATTGGAGAGGAGCGAGAAGAATGACGGGAGAACTAAGCATGGTGATGCACTCCTGTAATCCCAACACTCAGGAAGCTGAGGCGGAAGGATGGTAAGTTCAAGGCGAGGCTGCGCGGCATAGTGAGTTCCAAGCCAGCCTGGGCTACAGATGAAACATTGTCTTAACAAATTTAACAAAGAAAGGCTTGAGGGTTTTTGTTTGTTTGTTTTTCTTTAAAATGTGGCAGAATGTTGATACGGGGAATTCTAGAGGCACAACGGGTGAGAAGTGGATCAAAGAGTTGAGTTTTGAGACAAGAATCGTTTAAGATGCTCATTAGGTAGACAGTATTTTTTTTAATTGTTTGAGTGTGTTGGTACATGCCTTTAATCTCAGCACACAGTAGGCAGAGGGAGGTGAATCTCTGTGAATTCAAAGCCATCATGGTCTACATAGTGAGTTCAAAGCCAGCCTTATCTACACAGTGAGTTACAGGCCATTTAGAGTTACATGATGAGACCCTGTCTCAAAAGGAAGTAGTGGTGTGTGTGTGTGTGTGTGTGTGTGTGTGTGTGTGTGTGTGTGTGTGTGTGCGCGCGCGCGCGCACGTTACCACAGTGTCATGTGAGGTCAGAGAACAACTTTGTGGAGTCAATTCTTTCCTTCCACGTTTATGTGGGTTCCGGAGACCCAACTCAAATCATCAGGCTTGGGCAGCAAGCTCCTTCTCAGCTGAGCCATCTAGCCAGCCCTAAAAAGCCAGTCTTAACAACCAAGTGTCTCTCTCTATTGTCTCCCCCCTCCTCCAGGGTCCTCTGAGTCCACCCGAAGGTCCTTTTTATTCGTCCTCAGCCCTCACCGTCCGTTGTGTGTTCACACCTTTGTCTTTGCTCCATCAGGCTATCTATAAGATGGTGGGCACCGTCATCATGATGCGTATGAACCAGGATGGGCTCACACCCCAGCAACGCGTGGACAAGATCTTCAAGAAGATGGACCAGGACAAGGATGACCAGATTACACTGGAGGAGTTCAAGGAGGCAGCCAAGAGTGACCCCTCTATTGTATTGCTGCTGCAGTGTGACATGCAGAAGTAGAGGCTGGTGAGGGAGGGGCAGGGCCCCTGGCCAGGACAGGCATGGCACCTCCCAACCTGATGTCCTCTCTGCTGGCCCGTCCCCAGGGGGAGGGGCATTCCAGCCTCACTCTCTAGGTCCCCCACTCCTCTGCCCAAGCCTTTCTCTCCTCAGTCAAGTTCTGTGAGGGACCACCTCATCCTGCAAAAGAGATGGGTCCTCTCAAGTAGCCTGTCCTCCAAGCGTCTGTCACTAGCTCCACCTCTAGCCTTGGCCTAGAACCAACATCCTTTGGGCTTAGGAGAGTTGGCTTTTGACCCAAGAGGCGAGGTTAAGGAGGGGCTGAGGGCTTGCTTCGAGATCCTGTTGTTCCCAGGATTCAGCTCTAAATACACAATGCGGTCAGTCCCAGAGGCTCCCAGTCAAAGGGCCAAACTGGGTCTCTCCTTTCCAGATTCCTTGAGAGGTGGTCTCCGCCCCACCCCCTTGACTCTACCTGGCCCCTCTGGCCCCACCCTTGGGAACGTCCATTGAGTCCCTTCTCCAGCTAATGCTTGTTAGGCACCTGAAGGTGCTAAGAATACGGTTGTTTACAAAAACACATTCCATGCCCTCTGAAAGCTCACAGGGTAATGAGACAACTTCCAAGGGTGGAGGTCTTAGACAGAGATGTGAAACACACGGAGACGAGGACGCAAGGCAGCGGGCAGGTTCTTAGGACGCATGTGTCCTCCAGCTACCACCACCCAAAGCTGCAGAAAGACTGAAAAGCCCGAGGAAGTTTAGGTGCCACATGTGGGTAGAAGTTTTAAGAAAAATAAAAATTTATGTAATATTTATTTTTTTAGTGCCCTTTCAAAGAGCTAAGACCATTTTATTAGACTATTAATATATACTCTATATTACTTGGTTTCTTATAAAAATGATTTAAATGGATATAAAAACGCTAATTTTCAAGGGGGGGGAAATGCTTGGGCAACCACCAGACTTGGAGAACATGCACTCTCCCATCAGCAGTATCTGCTGCTCCTGCTCCTCCCTTTTGATTACCTGTTTTCAATTCCACAAGTGACTTTGTGTCGCTCACTTTGGGTGCCGGCGTCAGAGATGGAAACCAGGTCTACGTTGAGCAAGGGTAGTCCGTACCCCACACCTCAGCAGCTTGTTTCTGAGTTTGGTTTGGTTTCAGGGATTGGCTTGTTCTTTCACAGCCTCAGATAGAAGGAGCTAGAAGAAAAGGATCATCCGGCCACTGTTCAGGCTTCTGGGCTGCATTTATGGACCAAACGCCTAAAAATACACTGGGCGTACTCCATGTGAAAGGCTTTTTCTAACCCCTCCACCCCAGATCTGCCAGGTAAACAAATCTGTCACCTTCTGAACTCACCAGCTTTGCTTTCTGAATTTTAGGGTCTGTGAGCTAACTATTGTGCTGCATGCTTTCCAGAAAAATCCACCTTGCTTTCTTCTAGCTCTTCACTTTGCTTTCGCCTGTGCTTGTGATCAGGAGTCAGCTTTGATACGCAGTGACAGTTGACTTCCTCTTGAACTGCTGTGAAACTGTCTCAGATGTTCTCAGCCAGGGTGGGAGTAGAGAATATGCTTGTGAAGCCGGGGTGTGTGGTGGCGGAGATTGCCCTGCAGGAAGGATGCTATTTGCCTCTCACTTCTGAATGCTTGCCTCCTCGCTGCTAGAAACTTTTGGAGATTCTCACCTGTGGTCCAAAATTCTGTCAGACCTTCCTTCTTGTGGCGTTTGGAGTAGCAAGGCACCTTCTTTCCATCCTGCCTACCCAGGCCATGTGGTGAGGCTGAGGGATTCACAGACTCCGGTGACGCCGGCAGGTGTCTTATCTAGGGATGCTTCACAGGGCTGTTCCCCGGCCCTCGTGAACTGCCTGTTAAGTATGTCTTGTGCTGTCATCAGCACCGCAGAGACAGAAATGCTCAACAACCCGCACAGCTGGGACCTGAATTTTCTAGTGAAAAGCTTTTCCTGCCCCCCCAGCCCCCCCCCCCCCCCCCCCCATGTTGAATCTAGATGAACTCACGGAGGACGACACAGACTTTCTTGGCTTTCAAAGGCTTGTGTTTACTTGCATCTCATTTTGTCCTCACAGCCCAGGGAGATCGGGGTTTTCGGGACCTTTACCCAGGCTTGGAAGCTAAGATTAAGGGTGGAGGGTGAGGAGGTCTCTTGTGTGAGAGCAAGCGGTCAGGAGATAACACAGTTGTTGAACTTGAACGCAAGGCTCTCTAAAAGGCTTTCCTCTGCCTCGTTCATTTCTGTGTCTGTTAGTCCAGATGTTGACTGCAGGACAAACTGACTTTTGTCTTTCAGAAGCTTCCTGCTAAGAAGCTTCTGAGGCCATGGTCTTCCAAAAAAGAGGAGGAGCTTGAAGTCTCCATTTTCAAGCATTCTCTTTTCTGCTTTTGGGCAGCTTTGCATGGACCAATGTTGTTCTTGGGAGCTGCTAGCCAAATTCTGGAAGCATCTAACATTGTCTTCCCCACTCTCTTCCTTCCTGAGAGAACTGCTTTTGTTTTTCTAAGCTGGTAGGCAAGTTCTGTTCCTGAGACTGATCACTCCAGGGTTCTGGCTGCCTACTCATGGGCAGTATTTGCTACTTAGGCAAAGGGTTTCCGACAGCTCAACAGGCCCCAAACTGTTTCTGCCTTCTTGCTGATGGGAGGAGCCACAGGCAGCTTAGGCCTTGCTCCCACACTCTCTTAGGTGTCTAGAGCACTGTATGTCCAGGAGACCTTGTGGTAGAGCACCCATCCATGCCTCAAGAAGAGAGATAGGGCTCCCATCTCTGCTCCAGCTTGAGAAGCACTTACCACAAAGCACAAGGTTAGCAGAGATCTATGCATGACTTGCAAAGACATGAAAACATACAGGCAGTTAAAACATTGATCTATCCAAGTTCTCCTTTGAGGTTCTATATCCTCTTACAGAAATTCTGTGACTCACAGTGATTCCAGATTCAGCCTCCTCATACCTGCTATTCTCATTCATCCTTTCTGGCTAAGGGATGAGACCCTTATTTCTCATCCCTAAAAATCATCAGCGTAGGCTGCTTCCCTCAGGTGCCACGACCATCCCTGCAGCTGCATAATTTACTAACTTCCTTTTAAAATTAAGAAGAAAACAAAAACAAGCCCATCAGCAAAGGCACTAATTCTTTTCTGCCCTGGCAAAGGCAGAGCCTCAGAAACAGAAATCCATTTTCCACAGGAGGTCATGAGAGCAAAGAGAGAGAGTGATCTGATCCTCCTAGGCAGGGCAGTAGTAGGCTGACACTGTAAATAGTTTCACACAAAATTTCATTAAATCGAAAGTTATTTCCAGAAGATCCACCTGGGTGAGGCTTTGTGTTGACTTTGGAAATCACCATGGGGTTAAAAAAAAAAATACGTTTCTTACATAGCTCCTTCATTGTTCTTAAAGAAATACATAATTCATGTGCTCAATTTTAAAGTCTTAGAAAAACATGGGATTTTTTTTTTTTTTTCTAGACTTTCCAGGGTTTTCTCTTCTTAGCTTTGTCAGAGTGTGGGGGTGGGGCGGGGCCTCCCAGGAGGCACGGATCTCTCTGCATGCGCGGTGGAGGCTGGCCAGGTCCAGGGCCTCCTCAGCAGCAGCAGTGAGGAAGCATACCCCGTTCTCTCCAGATGTGCCGCTTCTAGCTCTGCCCACAGCAACTGTCTTCACTGGTCAATCCTGTGCCGTGTGGTGTGTATTTTCCCCACTGACAATGAATAAAAGGTGTGACTGTGCAAGCTTCCTGTCTTCCCTGAGCTGGCTGGGCAGGGCCAGGGTGGGGCAGAGGGAAACAGGCCCAGAAGAGTTCACAGAGCACCCACAGGAGCCTCCTTGGGCCAAGCTAGGTCTTCGGTCTAGTGGGGAATCGAGTCATATAGCATAGCGACCCACTTAAGCTACTTCAAAGAAAAAAGGGAAACAGATCGCAAAGGGTCCCAATGGCAGGCAATTCAGGATGTGTGGGCCAGCCTGGAGATGTAGCTCAGTTAGTGGAGTATTTACTCAGCATGCACAAAGCCATGGGTTCAATCCTCCACACTGCTTAAAATGGATATGGTGGCACATCCCTGTAATCCCAGCATTTGGAGGTGGAAGCAGGAGGATTAAGAAGAGTTCATGGTCGGGGCTGAAGAGATGGCTCAGTGGTTAAGAGCACTGGTTGCTCTTCCAGAGGACCTGGGTTCAATTCCCAGCACCCACATGGCAGCTCACAACTGTCTCTAACTCCAAGATCTGATACCCTCACACAGACATACATGCAGGCAAAGCACCAATGCACATAAAATAAAAATAAATTACTTTAAAACAAATAAACAAAAAAGAATTCATGGTCATCCTAGACTATTTCACTGAGTTCAAGCCAGGTCTAGGATACATGAATCCTTGTTTAAGAAGCAAAAATATAAAGGTCTGGGCTTGGAGCTGGAGAGATGGCTCAGCAGTTAAGATCGCTGGCTGCTCTTCCAGAGGTCCTGAGTTCAATTCCCAGCAACCACATGGTGGCTCACAACCACCTATAATGGAATCTGGTGCCCTCTTCTATCATGCAAATATACATGCAAATAGAACACTCATATGCATAAAATATATAAATAAATAAATCTTTAAAAAAAAAAAGTCTTGGCCTCCAAACTAGAACTGGTAACTGTGGCAACTGTGCCTCTCTCTTTTCAACCATGAGATGGTGGGCTTTCAGTCTCTGGGTAATTACTTTGTTGTTTGTTTGTTTGTTTGTTTGTTTGAAACAGGGCCCCACTCTGCCGGCCAGCCTGGCCTTACTCTCCTAATCCTCCTTTAGCCTTCTGAGCTCTGGGATGATAGGAGTGTTCCACCATTCCTGGAAGGATGTTAACGGCAGGAGACTTTGGTAGAAGGCATACCAAGAATCCAAATGAGTGGATAGTAACTGATGGCCACGCGCCAGGCTAGGGTCCATACGTTGTTTTGGGGCAAATCAAGAAGAGGCACTCTTCTAAGTGAAAGTAAGTATGCAGCTAAGCAGCAAAAGCACCTTTGAATTTGTTAGAAAAACATGGTCAGGCATGGTGATGCACAGCTTTAATTCCAGCACTCAGGAGGCAGAGGCAGGTGTATCTCTGTGAGTTTGAGGCCAGCCTGGACTACAGAGTGAATTCCAGGGAAGCCAGGTCTACACAGGGAAACCCTGTCTCAAAAAACCAAAAAACAAAAAACAATAGAGCACAGGATGGACTTCAGTCCTCTCCTGGCCTGCTGGTCAGAATCATTGCAGTATAAACCTGTTCCACCATCCACAGGAACCCAGCCTAATCCCCGAGAGTTCCTACACTGACCCAGATGTGTAGGAGCAGCGTGGGAGAAAGTGGTGAAATGTTCTTTTCAGAATCCCCCTCAACAGCCAGAGGGGTTCGGGGCAGTGGCAGGTGGAGGGAGCGGCTTCCTTCTGAGACGCTCCATTGCTTTTACAAGGGTTTCCTCAAGGACACCTGGAGACGGCAGTTTTCTTGGCAGGAAGCAATTAGGACAGAGAAGGCGGCTGACCTACCTGCCTCAGGGTAACCATGAACCAGAGGGGGTGGCTCAGAAGCCTGACTCAGAGAAGCCCCAGAACCCGCAGTTGCTGTTCCCAGTGGAAGCCACACTACAGGTCGGGAAGTCCGATCCCCTGCCTGCCTGGGGACGCAAAGGTCCTGGGCTGCCTTCTTGTCACATCCCTCAATCTCTCACCAGGCAGGGGGATGCACCTCCGACTTCCAATCTTGCTATCTGCCTCAGCTACAAGCCAGGGTGACCTCTTAAAAGCACCCTTCCGACCATGTTATCTTTTCAGGGTCCCTTCCCCTGAATTACGATCTGTTACTTAAATATCCCTCAAGGCCCTCTGTGATCTGGCACCAGCTGACCTCAGAAGTCTTGATCTTAAGTTCGTTCACATTTTCCTCCTGCACCCTGTGCTCAAGCCACCCTGGATCCCTTCCCTAGGGTCCCTTAGGCCTATGTAGTCCCATAAGCCCTTGCTCCTTTCTGGGCAACTTGTTCCCCGTAATCTTTGTGAAGCCTTGCGATCCTCCAACAACAGCCCCTCAGTTTACACAGTCCATCCCAGTCAGCAGACCTTCCTGTGTGGTTCCCAGGTAGCCAGGCCAAACACATTTAAGTCTCTCTAATGGTCTGGATATGAAGTAGGGACCTAGTTGGAGAAAGGAGGTCACTAGGGGTGGGTCCTTGTGGGTACAGTGGCCCTGGTCACCTCCCCTGCCCCTCTGGTCCATGTGAGGAGTGTCCCACTCCCAGGACACTCTGCCTCTTCGCGGAATCAGAAACAACAGGTGTTTGTTCCAGTTTTGCTAGATTGAGCCATCTAAAACTACAAACCAGAGTCAAATCTTAAGTCCTTTAACTTGTTTCCGATGGGTGATTGGTCACAGCTACACAAAAGTGACGAATGCGATCTACTCTCCCCAAAAGACAGAAATGAAGACTCAGAGAGTTGCTGTTCTACCTGGGGGCCTGGGGGATCTCAGATGTGTTGACATCCAGGCCACCGCTTAGTGAGCTTTCTCAGCTATGGGAGTAGGCCCAAACCAGAATGTGAAAGGGGCTGGCAGGCCGAGGGTCTTACCTGGTGGAGACAGCAAGAGGTAAAAGAGACAAACGGAGCAATGGTTACATGAAGACATGGTACATGCCATGGCTCTCACTAAATACCAGCCAATGGTGCCAGGCCTGTTGGGGCAGGATGCCCAGGGGAGCTGCTCAGGTATGTGGATGTCCTGGGACCTAGAGGGTCTGTTTATCATCTGAAGAGGTGCTGGACACCAAGAGAAAGAGACAGCTGGAATGTAGGCAGGCAAAGCCAGGGAATCCCTACAGCCAGCTCTCGGGGAGGACTGTGCAAGCCAGGAGACCCGCTAGGAATCCAGAGGATCGAAAGAACAGTTGAGGATCAGTTCTCTAACACTTCCCACAGGGTCTGGGCTAAGCTCTGAGAGGGACCGAACGTAAGTCAGGGCAGGTCCTTTGATGGCAAGGAACAGACACCTTAGTCTGTAAGGGGTAAAGAGGCTGGGGGTAGACAGGGCTTCTGTTTACAGGTGACGGAAAGTACGGAGCAGGGAGCAGGCACCCTACAGTCTCCGTACTCAGGAGACTGAGGCAGAGGACTGTCTTGAGTCTGAGGCCAGCTTTGGCTACATAGTGAGTTCTAGGACAGCTTTAGCAATGATGTAAGACTCTGTCTAAAAACAAACAAGAGAAAATAAAAGGGCAAAAACACAAGCTAAAGGAGCTTAAGCAAACAGCTTTTTGGCTCACATAATTAGAGGCTCAGGTCCCACTGGGTCTGGAAGCTCAGCATTGCACCTTCCCCGCCGCCCGCTCTCCCTACCCTCCCCTTCGCCCTCCCCCATCTCTCCGACTTCACTGACCCAGGCAGGCTTCTCCGTATTCTTTCACTTGCTCCCATAGTTCCCCAGGTAAGACCCCCAAATGGGATAGCCTAGCATGGTGTCACATGGTTAATCCCAGCAGTCGCAAGGCAGAGGCAGGAGGATGTCTGTGAGTTTGAGGCTAGCCTAGTGTACATAGGAAGTTCCAGGACAGCCAGGACTACATAGGCAGATGCTATATCAAAAACAAAGAAACAAAACCCAACAATCACAAAAAAAAAAAAACAAAAACAAAAAAAACCAAGTCTCCCAGCATCCATGTGACTGCCCAGAAGGGGCAGCACAATCATTCATTCCTCAATCAGTCAGTAGAGGCAGGGAAATGGTGGAGCCAGTCTCAGAACACCCTGCTCCCTGAGTATTGGAGACACACGGCTTGTTAGAAAGGGCTGAGGAAAGTGGTCACATCAAGCAAAACCAACGGCCACCAACTTTCTTCTCCGGGACGTTTATTGAACTGCGGGAAGAACTCCATGGAAAACTGAGCTAACCCATTTTCAGGCCCCCAGCTCTGTCTGCTTCAGGGAGTTATTTATTATCCACTTCCCAACCAAACCCTGCTTATTCAACCTCTACGTGGAAATCTGGCACTAGCCACAGTAGCCGGGCCTTACGGAATGGTCATGACCAGAGGCAGCTCCCGGTCGGGGCAACAGGTTTCTCTCACAGGATCCTCTGTGTCCATCTTTGCCTGCATCCACCCGCAGAGACTTCCCCGCTCACGTGCCCTCTGTTTTAGATGGAGTATAATATAACCCTGTGTGGAGGTTCATCCAGGCCTTTTGGGAGATGGTTTCACTTCATCCTCGGTCATGCCTGAGACTGACCACACAACTCCCTATTCTAAAGAAAGAGAAATTTGACTGGCCCCGGTCATCTTTTCAAGACAAGTTACTGGGGATGGGTTACTTTTATGTAAATAAAGCACTCATCCCTGTTCATTGCAGTCTGGAAAAGGATACCTCGAACCTACTTTCCCCAATTTATTTTTATTTTTTAATCTCCCTTCTCTTCTCACCCAAATCTATGTTACTGCTTTTCCAGAGGAGATATCTCGATTCACTCCAGCTAGAAGGCAACACCCGAAGTGATCTCATCCAAGGCCAGCCTACTGAACCGGTGAGCTCACTGGGGTTACATACAGGTAGGTGTGTGGGTGACGGTTATTGCAGGAATCTGGGCAACTCGGGAAAACTGCAACGTTGGAGTTTCCAGTGCAGCATGCGGGCAGCTGCATCACCAAAGATGCTCTCTTCTCCCAATCTACTTTGCTATTTATATCATTGGGAGGGGACCCCAAGTCTGTAAATTTCCTGGACTTCCTGAGCCTTGCAAGTTTCTCCTAACCTCCCAGGAGGGAATGTTTCACCAGGAGGAAACAGCTATGGAACAAAGTTTACTTGGTTCCTGCCAAGACAAGGTGGAGGCTGAACAAAGCTGCACTCTTTCCCAGGTCCGAAGCAAAGAACGCCCCCAGCTAGGCCAGTGTTTTATAGGCGTATCCTATCGACCTCTGAGAGGTGGCTGTGCCTTGGGACAGATAGACAGGGCTCTTCACCAGCGTAGACAGTACTCTGAAATTCTAAAATGCTAGGCTATAATTCTTTGGGTCCCAGACCCCATTCCTCTCTTCCCTTCTTCCAGTCACCTTACAACCCTAACGTCCCAGAGTTCCGCACCTGGAAATGCACGCCCTCTGCTGGCAGACAAGGTAACAGACGTGAACCGGGTCAGAATCTTTTGGAATCTCTCTTGACTGCGTTGCCCACGAGGCGAGCAATAACATCGCCTTGGCTTCAAGAGCCCCTTCGCCTGTGTGTGGAAGACCTGGGTCCCACACTTGCCCCCACCTGTAATGAGGACCCTGTTCATAAACGGAGCTGTCCATTCACCACTTCTCTGGGTCCAGGATGTCCCGGGATTTGAGAAAAGGCGGCTGTACAGAGAGTCCCAGGATGCTGGCAACAAGCGGTCTGTTAGTTTGGAGGAGTGCTTACCTATTCATTTTCTGGGAATCACCTTATTAGTGGGGAAGTTGTAAGACTTCCTCCTTTCTCGGTGCCCTTGAACTTCATCCCTACAACCCTGAATCCGCAGCACCCTACAAGCCCGGCTCCAGCCGGACTGCTCCAGAAAGCAGGCATCACCTCCCCCCCCACACACACACACACCCCGATTTGCTTCAGACTTGGGTCGGTCGGGGAACCAGAGCTCCGCCGTCCCCTAAACGCCAGCGGCCGTTTGAACCTGCTTGTCCCCCACCCCCGGCGGGCGGGGCGGGCTCACTCGCACTCCCTCCCGGCTCTGCCCGCCTGCTTCTCCCGCCCGGGACGCGCCTCCCTCCCGCAACCCAGTCCTGTGAGCCCCGCGTCTCCGCTGCCTCCTGCTCCCGCCTGGCCGGATCGGATCCGAGCCCGAGCATGGAACCCGGACAGCCTCGGGAGGCCCGTGAACCCGGGCCAGGGGCAGAGACCGCCGCGACGCCGCGCTGGGAGGATGCCAAGACTTTCTATGACAATCTCTCTCCCAAGAAGAAACCCAAATCGGTAAAAAGCAGGGCTTGGGTTTGGGGGGACACTGGACGGGCCACTTCCAGGGAGGGGTCTCAAGCCCTCTGGAAAGGGACTCGTGGAGCCCCTCCCGGAGGGGACACAGCTCCTCCGCCCCAGAATGTGCCCGGCAGTTGGCTCAGGCTCCAGTTTATTTTGGGAGCTCTGCTCTGGTGGCAGTGTTGTTGTTTTTTTTTTTTTCCCCATCCCGGGCTCAGGTTCCACGCCAAAATCCCCCTCCCCCATGCGGTCATCAGGGGCCTATCCCCTCCCGGAGCTGGCAGCCCCGGACGCACGGACCGCACTTGTTGGCAGAGCTGGTCAGCAACCCGGGCAGCAGCGCCCCGGGCTCAGCAACTCGACCCTGGAAACCCGGCTGCTGGCTTTGCTCTCAGGTCCCCGGCGTCAATGCGGCCAGCTCGGCTTCCCAAGTCAAACCTCGGCGCTTGGGCTCTAACTGGAGACCCAGGCCCTAGGGAACCAGAGGGGTCGCTCTCCCAGCATCTTTAAGAAACTGCTGCTTGCTCCAGGCTCAGGGCTTCGCTCCCAACGCTGGGCTTTGCACCCTAGACAATGCCTGTGACTCGCGGCGGGCATTAACATACAGGAATCACAGCGGAGGCATCAGCCCTTTGCAGCTTCACACAGAGGCAAGAATTCCTCTTCCTCTCTTGGACAAGTACCTTGGCTTTGTTCATGCCACCACCTTAGACCTAGTAGCTTGGGCCAGGGATTGAGAATAGAAGCTGGCCCAGAGGCATCACACAAGGACCCCCATTCTGACCTGAAAGCATCCCACGTTCACTCTAGTGACTTTACCCGGGAGGTCACACTCCACCCACTGTCACCTCTAGGCCTTCACTCATCCTGGTGACTGAGATATTAAGCTGCGCCCTGCCTGTCTTCGGGAGTTTGCAGCGTGCCCACGGAGGCTGTAGAGATGGTGGGATGTTCAGGTAAACGATCCCACGTGGTACTGTGGGAGCGCAGAGGAGGGGGCGACTCCCGCCAGGAAGGCTTTGGGGAACCGCATTTGAACGGACTGTCTTAAAGCTGCAGTGGGTGTGGCCTCTGGGCAGACCGGGAAAGAATGGTTGAAAAGCAAGGAGGTGTCTTTGAAGCTGAGGACTTTGTTCAGAATCCATACAGAGTGGGAAATGCAAGGTTGTTGAGAGAAGGACCCGCAAAGGCGCCCAGGCCAGGGACAGCCCTGCCGAGCACCTTGTGAAGGCGCCTGGATCTTATTTAGTGGGGTCGAGGCTTTCTTGCTGGGTTCTGTGGAGCCTCAACTCTCAGGCAGTCATCAGAGCCCTGAATCCAATTTATTTTTTCTTCTTAAAAATACTCTAAATAACTGAAAAAAAAAGCAGCTCTTCCCATTTTCAGGTATTTAGTGGTGCGAACCAGGACTGTACAGAAACAGAAACATAAATTGGCTGGATCCTGAAGCTTAAGTCTGTGGTAGTTAGTGTCCTAACTCTTGCTTTCAAATGTATTGTTATCCAAACTGTTGTATTCATTGGTTAGCTTTGTGCCCAATACATTCATGTAGAGAGGTTGGTAGGGAGGGAGAGATCAAATCTGAATTGTAAAATAGACTTAAAGCAATTACATAGTTGGCTAGCGTTACACATTGGGGTTCTGCCTAAGAATTCATTTGACTAAAAGGTCAACCTGCCTTTTAAAAATATGAAAATCATAATGGAACTGCTGTAGGATATTTTTTTATTTTTTTAAGCAGGGATTAACTTGGTTCCACTTTGATTTTATAATGATGACGCTGGGCTGTTCATCGGGTGGATTGGAAAGGTTGGGTCTGGCCGCCGTCACGCCAGTGAGATAGCAAAGCTTGACTAATGTCCTGGCCTGGGGAGCAGGGAGGAGACAAATGCTGGAAAGCAGGGGTGAATCTTCAGTGTTCAAAAATCCATTTCCTCCCCCAGTGTCAGAGAACCAACTATGGTCAGTCACAGCTCTTTCATCAGCCCTCGATCCCTTGTCTGATTAGGTGATGCTCCCAGCTCCTGTTCCTTCCTGTCATAGCCCTCTTCCCACAGGCTATTTTGGGGGGATTGCAAGCCTCATGGGCCCCACTGGGGCCTGGCCTGGGCTCATTTCAATTCCCAGGAGTTAGAGTAAAATATTTAACCTAGCCAAGGCCATCAGCGGCCCTCACCCAGAGCTATCCTGTCCTCTCTCCCAGCATCCCTCCTATGGCCTTCCAGAAATAGCGGTTTATTTGGCTATGTTCCTATCTTGACTGCAATAGACAGATTGTTGGTCTAAGTGGGAGCTCCTCGGGCAGGCCAGTGGCACTGGGAGACCCTCTGTTAATTCTTCACCTTCACCCCAAAGCCACAGCGATCAGTCTGAGTCTCAGAGAACTGACAAGACCGTGGCCCCCTGCAGCTCAGTAGTCTCGGGCTGAGCTCCTAGGCTGTTCTGACCCAGTTCCGAGCCTGGAGTGGACGTTCTGATTTTGGTGCACATCACGGCATATGATTTGGGTGTTAAGAGACTCGGTCAGGCACAAGAGGGTCAGTCTACAAGTGCTCAGCTTCTCCAGGCTCTGGATAGAGCCCGTCACCCGTTCCTTCAGACCCACTGGGAGGCTGGACAGTCTACAGGCGTTTGGGTTCCCTCACCTCACTTGGATCAGGGTGACTTGAGTAGGAGGCAGGGGCCTGTCCTGGGGACCATCATTCTTCAGGGGAAGAGTACCCCATCATGAAGCATCTCAGGAAGAGGACACAATGCTTCTCATCATTTCTCCCAAATATGGAAAGTGAAGCTGGGTTGTGTCCAGGGAAGCTATTTGAAGGAAGAAAAGGCAGCGTTTTCTGGGAGACTCATACCAGGGAGGCTGTTATATGGACAGAGCCCAAACTAGAGGCTGGAGACTTGAGAGCCCATCTTGACTTTTTTTGTGTGACCTAAAGTAAGAACCCTGATCCTCTCTAGCCCCATTTCCTCATCTGTGAGAGGGAAATAGATACTCCGGGGGAATTCAAGACATTTTTCTTGCAATGACCTGGAGTAGGATCTGAGGCAGTTTGGGTAATTCAGCTAATGGAGCCCCAAGGCCCAGGAATCTGGTGGGAACTATGGGACCGAAGTGAAGAACAAGGCTTTGACTGGCTGCATGGGCTGGAGCCAGATTCAGGGACCTGCCTGAAGTGGATGGAAGGCAGTGGGGCTCTCTGTCTTTGTGTGAATGATGACTGTCTCTAAAGCTCCCAAGTGCTGACGAGGTTGAGAAATTCCCAATGGACATCTGGACACACAGGTGGCCAGAAACTGGCAAAATTGGTTGAATCTCAGAGGAGGGGTGCCTTTTTTGCCACTCTTGTCTTCCATGGGCCCCACTGGCCACCTACACCCTCTTGGTTAAAGTTAAAAGCTGAATACAAGCTGTGGTCAGCTAAGCAACTTTGCAGAAACCTTTGGGTTTTCCCTTCCTAATTAGAGGCTCTGAGGTTTCACTGGCCATTATCCACAGGAAATGCTTAAATTCATTAAAATTAAAATGAATTTAGGGACCGAGGAGATGGCTCAGTTGGTAAGCCTGGCACACAAGCACAAGGAACCTGAGTTTGGGTCTCCAGCAGCAACATCAAAGCCATGTGTGATGGTGTGCATGAGTCAGTGAGTAGGGATATCTATCTGGAGCTTAGGGCTCACTGGCCAGTAAGTGTGCTCCAGGCTTAGTGAGAGGCCCTGTCACAAAAAAAAAAAAAATAAAAATGCAGTGGTCAGTAATAGAGGAAGACACTGCCATCCACTTCTGGGCTCCACACACGAACATCACTCATACATACACACATTTGTGGGGGGTTTTTTGTTTTGTTTTGGTTTTGTTTTGTTTTTTGGTTTTTGGTTTTTTTTTTTTTTGCTTGTTTGTTTTTTGGTTTTTGTTTGTTTGTTTGTTTTTTGTTTTTTTCGAGACAGGGTTTCCCTGTGTAGTTTTGTGCCTTTCCTGGAACTCGCTTTGTAGACCAGGCTGGCCTCAAACTCACAGAGATCCACCTGCCTCTGCCTCCTGAGTGCTGGGATTAAAGGTGTATGTCACCACTGCCCGGCTACACATTTGTTTTTTAAAGCACATGAAGTTAGATTTCAAGTCTTGGCATCACCTGCCACATTTGAAGTTACTCTACAATCACCCGGCACAGTTTATAGAGCATTTCCATAAAGTCCCAGCTTCTAGAGCTGCCCAGGTCACAGAGAAGTGGTGTCCATACGATCCCTGCACGCCCACATTCTGAGTTTCTCCAGCTGCTGTCCATGGTGGCATGATCCTCTCCCCATCTTCTAAAGGATGCCATGGATCTCTTGCACAGAGAATGGTCAAACGCTCCTTGGGGACAGAGATCAAACCTATCTTGCTCCCTAACATGTCCCCAGCTTAGCATAACTCAATGCTGCCAATCAGTTGGAGTCTAGCAGTGGGTTAAATAAATCATCCACAAGATTATCATGAACAAGCCAGGGTGTCAGGTCCACTTACTTCTAAGTCTTGGCTTCAGTTTGCCCTCTCTCTTCTCATCTGTAAAGGATCACAACCCTAGGACTGTCACAGAGAAGTGGTATCCATGACCTCCCTGAACACCCATGTTCTGATCTTTCCCAGAAATCAGTTAGGGTCCAGCTGCTGTCCATGGTTGCATATTCCTCATCCCATCCTATCCAAGTCGGATGTCTTCACCCCTTCAGGTTACTGCAGCCAAGTGCCACAGACTGATGACTTACATTGTAAACAACAGAAATTTCTTTCTTCCAGCTTGGGAGGCTGGGTATCCAAAAATAAGGAACCAGAAGACTGGGGTCCTTTTTCTTATTTAAAGATGGCAACTTCTAGCTAAGTCCTCATGCGTTCAAGGCAAACTCAGGTGACTTTTTTTTTTTTTTCCTAAGAAAAGTCCTAACCTCTCCCAAAGGCTCTATCCCTTACTATGATCACATTCAGGATTACAGTTCAACATGAGATTTGGGGGGATACATTCAGATACAACATTTGGGAAGGAGTGCCAGGACCCTCTTGTGAGGAGGCCCTTTGAAGTCCAGCTCCTACCTATCCTTCCGGTCTCATCTACACCCTCCCCTGCCCTGGCCTCTGCTCACTTTCGTGAAGGCTTTGAGCTTGTGCTCACCAATTCTTGTGGCCTCTTCCTTCAAGGTCTTCCCCAAAGGCCTCCTCTCCTTTCATGACTTCCCCTAAAGCCAGTCACCGAGACCTTGCTTCCACCTCCTGTCTCATCCCTTGGCCTCTTTGTTATGTTCTCTCGTCTTCTCCCCATGCCCTGATGAGCTCTGAGGGCAGGAGCCCTGTCTTCCCCCCAGAACCCTTCCTCAGCAGACTCTCTAGAGGAACCAACCGTAATGGAGAGCCAGAGCGAGGACACGTGTTAACTAGACAGAGGCTGTGGGAGACAGACGGCACAGTGAGCAAAGGGAACATCACGTTCAGGGTCAGAGGAGAAGGGAAGGTGTTCAAAGACACGAGCAAGGTGAGATTGAGCAAAGCTTGGGAAGGGGAAGCGGAGAGCAGAAGGGAAGCAGAGGTCTGTGGCAAAGGACTTCTTGTTTCTGTAGGAAAAGCTGTCTGCTTGACTCCGTACCACCGACGAGGTGGGCTGGGATCACGTCTGCACTTTAGACAGACCCTCTGACAATGTGGAGAGGGTAGCCTGGGCTATGTAATGGTGGCCTGGGCTGTGGAAGAGAAGAAAAAGTGGGTGGATTCCAAGTATGGTTGGCTTGGACACTTAATCAATGCGGAAGGGCGTGGGAAAGGGCAGGGACAGGGGAGTGAAGGTTTACTTCCTGGTTTACGCTGTCTGTTCATGAAGTGGTAATCTGGATGAGTAGATGGTGGTGCTGAGCACAGATGAGGAAATGGGGGGGAGAGGTTGGGTTTTGAGGAGAGGGTGGGAAATTCAGCCTCGGACACAGTAAGTTGGAGTGTCTGTTGGTCTGTTGGTTGACTGGGGCAGTTTATATGTGAGTCTGCAGCTCAGGAAGCAGATCCAGCTACAGATTAAAAAAATCTTATATAATTACTGTGTTTCTGGGCTCTAATTTCTTCCTGAGGGCATGCAGCTCTTCTTTCATAATGGAAACCATTGGGGAGTCATTTCAATGCGGCCACACTTTGGCTATATACGTTGTACTCGTTTTTTTTCTGTGGTGTCCAGATGGCCAACAATATTGCAACTCCCTGAGGGCATGCCCCTCCTTCCCATCACACTCCTAAATAAGGAGCCAGTCTCCGGCAGGAACCAGCCCAGAGTCGCCTCTGCCCAAGGCTGACTTTCTTTGGAGCAGAGCCTTGGCCTTCTCCACATCCCCGGGTCCAGGAAGGGCTTGCCCACGTGCACCTCCCTCGAGGTGAGTCCAAGTAATGGCCTGTCCTACTGTTCTTCTTGTAGCCAAAGCCTCAGAACGCGGTCACCATTGCTGTGTCCTCCAGAGCCTTGTTCCGCATGGACGAGGAGCAGAGGATTTACACGGAGCAGGGTGTGGAGGAGTATGTACGCTACCAGCTGGAGCATGAGAATGAGCCCTTCAGCCCTGGACCAGCCTTTCCCTTTGTGAAGGTGAGGGGGCAGTTCCTTAAGTAGCCCCCACGATGCCTTTGTAAGAAGCTCTGCCTGGAAGAGGCAAACCCCACAGCTAGCAGACTGAGACTTGGTGGGAAGAAGAGGCCACCATCCTCGGGACTGATGGAGCCCTAGAATGGGTAACCAGTTTGAATGAAGATCGGCCAGCCATTTATCCACCTTTAATGACGTGCCTCTGAGTAGTGAACAACCCACACAATGGTGGGAAATGGCATTAGAGGGTGGTGGTGTGCACAGATCTCGTTCCAAATCAAGCCTGCCCCTGGCCTCCCCTCTTCTTTCTCACTGGATCCCTGGCCACCAACTCAACTCATCAGTCCCTGGGACTCTGAACTGGAGTTTGCTCTCTCCCTTCCAGGCCCTGGAGGCTGTGAACAAGCGGCTTCGGGAGCTGTATCCCGATAGCGAGGATGTTTTTGACATTGTCCTCATGACTAACAATCATGCTCAAGTGGGAGTCCGTCTCATCAACAGTATCAACCACTATGGTAAGTAAGCGTGATGGGGCTGGACGCGGGATGTGCTGACCACACACGCCCCCTGGGGGAAGGCCACACCTCTGCAGGGTCAGGCTGGGTCAGGCTCTACAGACTGCCATCTTACACCCAGTGATGTTCTACTAACCTGGCATTGTATTGCATTTTTAACCTGGTGTTTTAAAACAAATAAGGCTGGGTTTGCAGTCCAACTGGTAGAGTGCTTACCTAGTAAGAAGAAAGTCCTGGGCTCAACCTCCAACACTGCATAAAAGCTAGGTATGGTAATTGCATGACATGCATCTAATACCTTCACTCAGGAGATGAGGACAGGAAGACCAGGAATTCAACGTCTTCCTCAGCAACATAATGAGTTCAAGGCCAGCCTGAGATACACGAGACCCTGTTTTCAAACAAACAAACAGACAGACAGACAAACAAACAAACGAGGAGCTGGGGGTGTGGCTTAATTGGTAGAGTGTTTGACCAGCATGCGTGAAGCCCTTCGTTAGATCCCCAGCACCGCATTAAAAAAAAAAAAAACAAACAATGGGCTGGGAATTTAGCTCAGTGGTAGAGCGCAAGGCCCTGGGTTCAGTCCTCAGCTCTGAAAAAAAAAAAGTCGGTTGGTGGTGATGCACGCCTTAAATCTCAGCACTTGGGAGGCAGAGGTGGGAGAATCTCAATGGGTTCGAGGTCAGCCTGGTCTACAAAGCAAGTTCCAAGACAGCCTGGACTGTTACACAGAGAAATCCTGTATCAAAAACAAAACAAACAAACAAACAACAAACAAGAAGGCACGGTGGCATAGGAACCTGCAATCCCAGCAGCTGTGCCTCCGTGGATCAGTAGCACATTTTCAGAGACATAGTAAGTTGAAGCTCGGCCTAGGCTACATGCGAACCTGTCTCAAAAAAAAAAAAAAAAAATTAAAAATAACAACAAGACTGTAATGCTGTGTATGGCAGCACATACCTTTAATCCCAGCTCTTGGGAGGCAGAGGTGGGTTGATCTCTGAGTTCAAAGCCGGCCCGCACTACAGAGTGAGTTCCAGGACAGCCAAGGGCTACACAGAGAAAAACCTTGTCTAGACAAACAAACACCAACAAAAACCTGTAAAAATAAAACAAACAAAACTGGTTTGAAATGCTGCCAGTTTACAGGTCGTTTGTCCGTGGCCTATTTCTGGCCACTCCTGGTTGATCAACATAACTGGCTCATAAAATTCCTGGATATTTAATAGCTGACTCTTGCAAGCTGGCACAAGCCAGCTGCAGCCCACGCTAGACAGGCCTCAGTGTAACAGGGAAAGGCGTTTACTTTCTCTGTGCCTCAGTTTCTCTAACTGTAGGAGACTAGCAAGCCTCATGAGGCTGATGGGAGAATCAGGGGCTGTTCAGAGTGAAACAGTCCAGTTATGATTGAAAGTTCTAAGTCTCTTGGAGCAAGCTTCCAGTGAAGGGAACCATTGTCAGTTCCAGAATGACTCAGAACCAGAGAGCAGGAAGGAAAATTGGACCCAGAAAGGCCAGAATCCAAGTCTTGGCCATCTCTCTTGGGCTTGTATTCTCTCTGGGCCAAAAGGGTCCTTGTGCTTCTTTAGAAAGCCTTTTCCTTGTTTTCATCTGTAACTACAGTTCCAGGAAATCCGAACGCTTCCAGGTCCCTTCCAGCCTCCACAGGTACCAGGCATGCACATGGAGCATGGGCACACATGCAGGCACAACACCCAAACACATAATAACCGTTAAAAAGGAGAAACCAGGGACTGGGGAGATGGCTCCGTGGTTAAGAGCACTGGCTGCCCTTCCAGAGGACCCAGGTTCAATTCCCAGCACCCACATGGCAGCTCACAACTGTCTATAACTCCAGTTCCAGAGGGATCCAACACCTTCACACAGACATACATGCAGGCAAAACACCAATGAACATAAAATAAAAATAAATAAATCATAAAAAAGAAAAAACCCACCAACACCAACCCACCTATCTTTCTAGCTTTACAAGATCTTGTTTCAAACAGCCAACACCCAGTTTGGTGTTTATTTTATTTTAATTTACTTAATTTTGATACAGGATCTTACTATGTAGTCCAGGCTGGCCTCAGACTTGAACGCCTCTTACCCTAACCTTCCCAGCACTGCATTTTCAGACATTGTAGACACATGCTACCATTTACTTTTTTTTTTTTTTCCTTTTGAGACAGGGTATCTCTATTTAACTCTAGCTGTCCTAGAACTCACAGAGTTCTGTCTGTCTCTGCCTCCCAAGTTCTGGGATTAAAAACATGTGCCACCACGCCTGGCTTCACTACCTTTGTTAAATTTTTTTTAAAACTTGCATGCATGTGTGTGTGTGTGTGTGTGTGTGTGTGTGTGTGTGTGTCTGTGAGTGACACCTGTGTGAGGACGCCTTTGAAGGTGAGAAGAGGGATCAGATTCCTTGGAGCTAGAGTTACAGAGAGTTGTGTGCTGCCATGGGGGTGCTGGGAACTGAACTCGGGTCTTCTGAGAGAACAGCAAGTGTCATTGACCGCTGAGCCGTCTCTTCAGCTCCTCTTCACTACTTTAAAATGTATTTATTTATTTATTCTGGGGGCTGGGGAATAAAGCAGGGCCCCTGTCGGCTGCATGTGTTCAGTCGTAGGCCCCAGTCGGCATTTTATAGCACTGATTTTGAATTCCCGAGTGGGAGGCTGATGGTAACAGTATTTAACCACAGGTGCTGAGAGATCAGAATAGGCAGCACTCTGTGCTTGAGTACGGCCCTGGGGACCTCTGCGGGGTCAAGTCCCTTGCCTGTTGTGGACGGTGAGGAGGACAACAGTCCTGTATGCAGGGCTTGGGTAGCGGCTGAGGGTAGCAGCCACTAGTCAGCCAGCAACTATTTACATACAGCTTTTGCAGCCAGGGAAGCAAGCTACCCAGGTTGGACTCTGATTGGCTCAGCGGTGTCCAGAGTCTGCCCCTATCCAATCAGCTGTGACCAGGAAGATAGGGTCTCTCGTCCATCTTTTGAGGCCACTGACTGGGAGGGAATGTTGTGAACCAGGGGCTTTCTCCAGACATGTGATCATTTCGTGTCCTTGATGAAAGATGCAGGGAAAATGCTAGGCTGAAACAAAGGGTCACTCTGCGGCCCCACGGCTCCGATCCAAGATGGCTCGCACGGGGCACAGAGAGACGATTCTGAGGCCTGAAGTTTGACCCTGGCCTCATCTGGGGACTCTCTCCCTCCACAGACCTGTTCATTGAGCGATTCTGCATGACAGGTGGGAACAGCCCCATCTGCTACCTCAAGGCCTATCACACTAACCTCTACCTGTCAGCTGATTCGGAGAAAGTGCGAGAAGCCATTGATGCCGGTAAGTCAGAATGAGGCAGGAGACTATGGGAACACCTTCCCATACATAAGGGGTCCCGAGTGGGGAAAAGCCTGGTCCTGAAGCTCTGAACAAGTGCCGGCGTTGCCAAGGTAACTGCAAGGGGACCTGTGCACACATTCCTGTGATCTGTCTTGTAAAGTGAAAACAAAGCCCACCTGAACCTCTTTCTCATCTCCCTTTCTCGCCTCCCATGGCGTACATTCATCATCATCACCTAGCCTTCTGTTTCCATGGAAACTTTCCTTGCAGCCCAGAAGACTAATGCTTTTCTCAGATGACTCTGGGCTGATGGGAGTTCTGATTCCTGTGTGATCAGGAAGCTTCCATCCATCACCGGGCCAATGAGAAAGAAGGAACGTCCATATCTAGCCAAGCCTGAGCGGCAGGCTTTCAAAAATGATCGTCTCCCACAGCTGGGCTGGCCAGTGCTGTGGTGAGATCAGGGGACTCAGCTACAACTCTCGATAGTGAGAAATCCACTCCCTGTGCCCCTTTCAAGGGGCAGTTTGGGGCGACAGACATGGTCTCGGGCCTCCCAACAGGAGCCCACGGAGGCGGGAAGACCGACTGCCCATTTGCCTGAATGTATACTCAGGCTGGACACTCAGGGTCTCTCTGTCAAATACCTCTTTCCCTTCCGTGTTGGTGAGGCTTTCTTTAGCCAGGACCCAGAAGGCATGTCCCTAGACACATCACACCCTTTGCTTGGGGTTTGCGAACTAACTAACCTGTAGGTGTGCCTCTCTACACCTGGAATTTGACTTTTAGTCCAGGGAGAGTGGTTAGATGGATGTCCTGCTGAGAGCAGGGGGTTCTGGGTCATCTTGGCACTAGGTTGACAGAGCTGAGACGGTATGGAGCCTGATACTCAGGACCTGGTCCTACCCTGGGCATCCTTAGGCTAGTGAAGCCGCTGTAAGACCTGTCCTGCTAGCTCTCGCCAGAGCTCTGCGGAAGTCGACCTCCAAGACCCTAGATTCCCAAGGAGCAGGGTCGAGGGGGCCTTTAGGGAGATGAAGACTGCTGAGGGGCATTCATCTGATTCTAACCTGGAGCCTTGGTCCCTGGTGGGCGTTCTTGCATCCCGAAGGAACCCCGGTTGCGGAAAGTCTATATACATTATCACATGTAGTTTATACTGCCTCCCAGGACCAGGCTCATTATCTCACACAGTCTGAACCAGTCGACTTCAGTGTACCTGGATGCTTGGTGACTGTAGATAGGGTGTCCACACCCACCCATCCCTTCTGCAGCCTGAGAGCTCAGCCTCCTACAGACTGGAAGGAGCCTTAACTTTACCTGGGCCCAGAGAAAGGATGTAACTTGGATCAATAGTGAGGGAGTGGCCCCACCTCAAGACATGCTTCCCAGGCTGCGGCAGGTCCACAGAGGGTGAGGAGCTCCAAAAAAAACAGGGATACAGGAGTCTGGTGCTCCTAGCCAAGACTTGTTTGGCTAGTTCACACCAGTGTGATCTTCAGCGTTAATGTGTTCAGATTTCTTCACGCTGGCTGGTAAATAGATCTTCAGTGTCTTCCTGCCCAAGGACACCTCCAGAGCTCTTCACAAAGATGCTGTGAGGGAGGTAGACTTTAGACCTTTAATGGGGACCCTCAGAGTGACCCCTCGAAGCTGTAGCTGCGGCACATTCTCACGGCCAGTATCCATAGACCACCAATGTTAAAATGCTCCCAATAGGAGTCTTTGCTAGGCTTGCCTCTAGCCCTGGGGGCGCCGCTGGCGGAACAAGGACAGCGTGCATGTGACACCTTCTCCTGCACCCAGGCAGACAGCACTGACCTCTCTCTGTGCAGGGATTGCAGCTGCCACCATCTTCAGCCCCAGCAGGGACATAGCTGTGTCCCAGAACCAACTCCGCGTGGCCTTCGATGGGGACGCAGTACTCTTCTCTGACGAGTCCGAGCGCATTGTCAAGGCCCACGGGCTGGACAGGTTCTTCGAGCATGAGAAGGCCCACGAGAACAAACCTTTGGCACAGGTGCTCCACATCCCCAGAACCCCTGAATAACCCCCCATCCCCCAGAACCAAGCCCACATTCCCACCAGGTCCTCTTACCAAGACTCAAGGTGCCCACCCCTGTCTTTGGTTTTTGAGGCAGGGCTTCTCTGTGTAGATCTGCCTGCCTCTGCCTCCTGAGTTCTAAACCTCTCTCTCATTTGACCCCTGGCTCTTTTCAATGAGACTCCGCTCCTTCACTGGATCCCACCCCCTCACTCAAGTCCAGTCCCCCACTTCTTGGGGCCTCTAACAGCTCTCCAAGCATCTCTGAAGCCCCCCTGCTTTGTTCCTCCAAACCCCTTTCTGAGGTCTCCATCCCCTCTCAGAAACGCCCACACCCATTCCGAGTCTTCAACCCTTCTCTGAATTCCCCATCCCTTCCTAAAAATCTGAACCAGTGCCCCCCACCCCCAATCCACGGTTCTTTCCCTGTAACCCTCAGCTCCTCTCTTCAGATTCCCTTCTGAGTAAGTGCCCATCCCTCCAGAAGCCTGTTTCCTTCTCTGAGAGACAAGAATGCTCACCTGCCCTCATACTTCTCAATGGCTCTCTTGGAACAGAAATGTGTCTTGGAGCTTGTTAGAAATTCCCTATGGGTGGAGCAATGGGATTCTCCAGCCCTGTTGGGAACGCCAAATGTGTCCCAGGGCAGGACACTTTTCCCACTAAGTGGTTGATAGAGACCCAGAAGAACCCTGCTTACCCCAGGTTACCCAGCTAGGAAAGTCCCCAAGACAAGCAGCCCACTTTCCTTGTTTTCAATTGCTTTGAAAATGAGCTACCTTCTACATCGTCTCGTTCTTTATTCACATGTCTGCAGTAGCTTCATTGCTGTGGGTGCTTTCCCTGACCCCAGAGAGCCTGAGCCCAGCACCCTGAGCTACATGCATGTCTGTCCACAGGCAGGCACATATTCAGTAGTTACATACTGGCCTCTCTGGTCCCGATATTCGCAGATAGAGTCCATTCTGATTGGCAGGTGACCCTGCCATCATTACCAGCTAGTTTTAATTCTGTCTTTGCTAATGAACCCAGAAAACCACATTTATAGGACAGATCACTGCAAGAGACATGGATGGATATGCCTAGCAACAGTTGCCCTGGTTATGGTTATACTGATATAGCCCCAATCGCATTAAGACAGACCCCAGACTACAGGGACCTACAGCCCTGTATATACACAGGAGCCCAACAGGCAGAACAAAACCACCAAAAGAGTTAGGGATTTCCCACTCCAACAGCCAGTCACTGGTGCTTCAGGATGAAAGGGCAGATGTTTAGGAGAGGGGAATCTTACAATGTCTCCTTAACTCCATAGGGCCCCCTAAAAGGCTTTCTGGAAGCCCTGGGTAGACTGCAGAAGAAATTCTACTCTAAAGGTCTGCGGCTGGAGTGCCCGATTCGCACTTACTTGGTGACAGCGCGCAGTGCAGCCAGTTCTGGGGCCCGGGCCCTCAAGACCCTGCGAAGCTGGGGCCTGGAGACAGATGAGGCCTTATTCCTAGCCGGAGCACCCAAGGGCCCCCTTCTTGAGAAGATCCGCCCACACATCTTCTTTGATGACCAGATGTTCCATGTGGCTGGGGCTCAGGAGATGGGCACAGTGGCTGCCCATGTGCCTTACGGCGTGGCCCAGACACCCCGACGGGCTGCTGCTGCTGCTGTTGCTAAGCAGACTTTAAGTTCACAGTAGCTAAGTCACCTTGCTCCAGGCAACCCGTCACTCTTCCAGACCTCATCTGGTGAACTTTCCTGGTTCCTCACTGTCCACGCTCCTGCATGCCGTCCTCTTCCCTCTGCTCAGGTACTCCAAGGAACTTAGGAAGACTGGGCCAGCATTCTCGAAGTCCCTGCTAGCCAAACACTGCTGTGATCCTGGCTGGGAAAGCAGGACTCTGCAGGGTAGCCTGAATGTCATGGAGAAATTGGTGGGTAGAGAGTGGTATAGTCAGAGAAGCCAGAATGCCAAAGGGCTTGGGATGAAAACTGTCGCATGTAGTCCAGAGAACATTGTGTGAGAGAGGGCGGATTTGGCATCTAAAGCAGACAGACCTGGCGTAGACTGCGTGACTTAAGTCCCTCTTTTTCTTTTTCTTTTTGTTTGTTTTTTTTGTTTGTTTGTTTGTTTTGTTTTGTTTTTTTGAGACAGGGTTTCTCTGTGTAGCTTTGCACCTTTCCTGGATCTCGCTCTGTAGACCAGGCTGGCCTTGAACTCACAGAGATCCACCTGCCTCTGCCTCCCAAGTGCTGGGATTAAAGGTGTGCACCACCACTGCCCAGCCCAAGTCCCTCTTTTTCATAAGCCTCAGTTTACCCCTCTCCCTTTTAGGTGGTTTCCAAGCTTGGTTTTACAAGATTGTGCCCCAAATGAATCATCCTGTGCTGGGGCTGCTAGTACCTATGGCACCTATGTAGATTACAAGATGACATTCTGTCCAGGTGAATGAATTACAAAAACGATGGTCCTTCCTCTGGCCTAAGCCGGGACACAGGCTAGATTCCAGCCCTTCGCCCCTCAGCCCATCGAATGGGAAATATGCACAGTTCTGCACAGCAGCCCTGCCTGTATCTTTCCATGTTGGGAAGCTACTGCACAGGATAGCCCGCTGTTTCCTGTGGTTTGCTAACCTGGGCCATGGACCATCAACTGCCGGGTGGAAGGTTTGGGGAAAGAAATGAGAGGAATGTAGCCCACATGCAAATTCTCCTCTAGCCCGTAGGGGGCACTGTAGGCTCTAGCTGGAGTGGACTTCAGCGGCTTGCCAACTCTGGGTTTCCTTTACCTTCAGCTTTTAGGGAAAGTTCAGTAGTTCTGCCTCCCAACCTCCTCACCTCAGTCCTGGGTCTACCAGTCACCGCTACCTGCCATGCTGTGAGGAAGCTCTCCCAGCATCGAGAGAGAGAGCTGTAGACCCAAAGTTGGAGAAAGCACAGGCCCTAAAGTGAGTGGTTGTCCAGGCTGAGTCTGAGGGCAAGCTGCTGCAGGGAGACGTGGGAAGTGTCAGGTCTGATCTGATCTGAGATGCTAAGGACGTGATGGCTTAGAGAAGGACGAGTTGAACGTGCACCAGCATGAGTCTATTGTGGATAGGGGAAAGCCAGTCAGAGCTACCCTGGAGGTAATGAGCTGTCACTGGAGTGCCGTGCAAAGGATTCTGGGTTGGGCTGAGCTCCCTGAGAGGTACCATTGATGACTCCACCTTTGCATGAATCCACGCAGCCCTTTCTTCTCCACATGATGAGTGATAGTCACTTCCTCCTTTGCTAAGCAGCCCTGGCGCTCAGAGGAAGGATGGAAGAGTGGATGGTTGGTCCCCTAGGAAGAAGGGGCAAGCAGACATGTATTCGTACATTGAGTCCCTGGCTCCCACAGGGATGCCAGCAGTGAGGAAACCCAAAGCATCATCAGAGGGCCAAGAGAGGAGCCTGGATATTGAAGGGCAACCAGAGACTCTAACCTCTGCCCTTCTAGGAGTTTGACTTGGGATCTGAATGAGTACATGTTCTGGCCAGCGTGTCTCGGGGTAACAGGTTCAGAAAGGAGGACAAAGAAGACTCAGGAGCTCCTGGAAATGAGTTCCAGCTTGGGCTGAACAAGAAACACAGGGCTGAGCGTGCATCTGTGCTTGCAGCGTGCGGACACTGTTCCTGTCTGTGCCTGCAGCGTGAGGACACCGTTCCTGTCTGTGCCTGCAGTGTGCGGACACCGTTCCTGTCCATGCCTGCAGCGTGTGGACACCGTTCCTGTCTGTGCCTGCAGCGTGAGGACACTGTTCCTGGAAGGCAGAGATGAACGTGAGGTAGACAAAGCTGCTTTACGGAGCCGTTGGCATTATTTGCACCCGGGAGGGCAAGACACGAAGGTGATTTTGCACAGGGTCATTTTCATCATTATAGCCAGGACCCTTGTGGGTGGCGGAGGAGGCCTCGGGGTAGAACCAAGTCTGCAAGGGGCTTCCTCTACGCCTGGTTCTCCACGCCTGGTCAGAGATGTTGTGTGACCTAAGAACAGATGCAAGGAAGTGAAGATGGGTGAGAGAAGAAGCTTGGCCTCAGGGCGCTCTCCATCTTCACTGGATCACACAGCAGCCTTCCGCCATGAGGCCATAGTCACCCCCTTGAAGGGTACCCGCCCAGGCTCACAGTCAGGGGTCACAAGCTTGTAAGGATATGCCAAGTACAAGCTCACAGAGTGTCTTTAGGCTACCCAGCCAGAAAAGGCCTGTGTACTGTGAAAACTGCACCAGATGTTGCCAAATTTGGATGCTGGGATGCGTGAGGTCTATGCCCAGGGCCTGGTCGTGAATACTGCAAACCCTTCCAGGTCTCTCAGGAAACAGGAATGGTACCATGCCAGCAGCCAGAAGATAAGGTGCGGTAAGAAGCTGTGGGTTTCACTGGAGACACCATGAGTAGCCACAGACAGCCCTGGGCAGTGAGGAAAGGTCCAAATTCTATTACTGAAACCAAAAATGAGCATCTCAAGCCTGGACAAAAGCTTTTGGAGCTGGAATAAAAGGCCAGAAGTCCTGGGGGCAGGCTCCGGCTTCAGCCAGACAGTCCTCCTGATGGACTCAAGGGCCTGAAGAGGAGCCTGGCAGCATGAAGCATTGTTTATTCTGTTACCAGGGGATTTAAAAACCAGCTGAGCATCAGAGCTGCAGGCCCAGCCTCAGACCGCAGCACTGGGACAGAAGAATCAACCGCTCCCAGAACACTGGACCCCTTTAGCTGGAAGCATCACATCCCTAGGTCTGGCAGAACATTCCTCCCAGGAAGTGCTTGCCAACAGAGTCCCAGGCCCCATGGAACTGCCACTCAGCCAGCGGAACAGTAGCTCTGTTTGTTATTAAGCATGGAGACTGCTAAGATCATCACTACAGAACTCCCTTCGGGGGAGGGAGATGTAGCTGAGCATCTGGCTCAGTCAGTAGAGCGCTCGCCTACTGAATGCAAACGCCTGGATTCAACCCTCGGCATGGCGTCAGCTAGGTACAATGGTGCACACCTATGATACCAACCCTGGAGAGATGAAGGTGGGAGGAGTCAGAAGGTAAAGGTGATCCTCAGCTGTGGAGCCAGTCCAAGGCCAGCCTGGGCTACACGAGACCCCATCACAAAAAGAAGAAAGCACACCCTCCCCCCCCCACCCCGCATGACAGCCCAACTACATGAGTGGGAATACAGCAGAATATTTCCTAAAGAAAACGGAAGCTAGCAAGAAGTTCAAATCCAAGACAGATTCCATGTTACACCTCTGTTCAGTTGGTGTGCGTCAAAGCGATGATTAGAATAGCAAAGCCCCTCCATAGCATGCGGTAAATAGCCCTGCCCCAAGTCCCTGGGTGTCCCCTGGGCCCTCCACTGGGAATGCTGCATCTTCCTGTGATCCAGCCTGCTTGAGGATATGCCAGCGCTGTGGTCCATGTTTACCCTCTTGAGGTGTCCTGGACGTACTGATTTGGGGAGCTATCATAACTTGCTCAAAGCCACCCAGCTAGTAGGTAGGTGTCAGTGCTGGGACGGTCTGATGCTGGGACCTGGATGTCCATCATTTTCCATATAGTGGCGAGAGATGCTCCATTCAGAAGTCTTCACCGGAAGAACTCACCTGAAGCCGACTTGTTGAAAAGCTGGGACACGCTTGAGCAGGCGCATTTTGCTTAGAGCATCCTGACTACCAATGGTTTAAATTAGACCCAGACATGTGCAGTCCCACTAACCTGCTTTTGAACAACTTCAAGCTATGTGAAACTCGGGTTGCAGATCTCTGAGTTGAGCTAATTAAGGCTTTGGCCGTCTAAGGACTCTGAGGCCAAATTGGATCCATTGCCTGTTGTCGTAAAGAAATGTGTGTTGTTTTAAACACCGTGGCCTTTGGTTTATAGATGCACTGCAGCAGCAGAATTTAATGGTACCAACAGAAACTCCAAAGCCAAGAGAATACCTACTATCTGACCCTCTTAAGAGAATATCTGTTGACCCTGGACCAAGGCAAACACCCTTGGCCCACGGGGACAAACAAGGTTATATCCTCCTAAGCATTTAAGGACAGAAGTTGGCTCCATAGCTAAGGGGGAGAAGAGATAGGGACTTGATGACTATCTAACCCTTTCCTAACATTCAAGGATTTAAAATGCCAAGTACTGTAATTTGCAATTTGCTTGATTCATAAATTTGCTGGTCAAACTGAATTCACCCTCTCAAGCTGATGGACCTTGGAACACGGGTGGCCTTGCTGGCTCTCCAGCACCCATCTCTACAGCTGTGGTCTCAGCTCTCCATTGGCCTCATGGGGTCTCTTGAGCCCTGGTGCGTGCTGGTAAGCGGATGGCTGTGAAACGTAGGCTTGGCATCAAGTGAAGCGTCCAGTGTTGACTCCACCAGCCCCTCAGATCTTGTGAGTCATCTTCACTCACTCTCTGAAAACAAGTTCTCAAGGGTCCCCAGAAGGCTTTGGCTCGGAAGATGCTGATGGAGTGAAAAGTCGGACTCCACTAAAAGGTGGGCGTTTCCTCCAAGCATGAGGTGCAAGCCACAAAGCCACCCTTACAATCCACCACAAACACCGCAAACTGTCTCACCTACTGCCACGGTTGACGTCACCATCCCATCACGATAGTCCCCCTTACAAAGCCCAGGCTTGGCCTCAGGTTCTTCATGTGGCATTTCAGACAGTCTGTCCCAGCTGGGATGGCATGAAGGATTGCTTTCCAGCAGGCAGGCATGATCCTTGATGTTCCTTCTCTGATGCTGTGGTGCAGCTCCAAGGATGCCAGCTTCTCACCTGTCTCCAGCCGAATCTGATGATGATGAAGAGGAGGAGGAGGACCATTGGCCCCATAACTGGCAGCTTCACTGAGCCAATACCAAAGACAGTGTCCCAGGTTCTGCCCTTAAGGTAAGGTGCAGAAACCTCTCTTGCCAGTAGGTGGCAGTGCAGACTGGCATTCGGCTATGCCTGTAATTTATGGTTTACTTTTCTCTCCTTCCACGCTACCCATCACTGTGCTGGACTCTCATAAGGACTTCAGGTGCTCTGACAATGTTTGTAAAACATCTCTGTATGATGAGCCAGCCACGGCTCTCACCGAAAACCACTGTGATGGCGTGTATGGGGAAACACCTGTGACTACGTACCACTATACAGATTGAGTACGCATTTACGGGTGTTAGTGATGGCCCAGACTTCTTGGCTGGATGACTGTGTGTGTGCACACGTGTGTCTGAGTGCCTGTGTGTATCACACACACTTGCAAGCTTGGAGTGTGTACAGATGGCTGTCTCTGTTATTTGAGGATCCTGGGCCGCACAGGTGATGAGCAGCATCACTCCCGGGAACTGGTCCTAGCTACCCCATCATCTCACGGGCATGCTGCTAGCTGTTCCCATCATCTCAAGAGCATTGCACATGCCTCACCCGAGGGCCATGGAGGCCAGGTCTCTCAGTCTTTCTCTAGTTTTCTGCTTAGGTTCCACTTCTATTGCCTCTGAACTCTGTCTCCTACCCCTGTGGCTCTACAGCTTTGGGGAGGAAGTGGCAGAATAGACCCCAGCTGACTCAGTCTCCACATATCTCTTCCCTTCTCTAACGGAGCCAGGGTTAACATGGTCCGATTAGGAGCTAAAGGCCACAGCAAGCCGACTTTCTTCCTGGCCTCCTGTTCTTTTTTTTTTTTTTTTTAAGACAGGATTTCTCCTGTGTAGTTTTGGTGCCTGCCCTGGATCTCGCTCTGTAGACCAGGCTGGCCTCGAACTCACAGAGATCCGCCTGGCTCTGCCTCCTGAGTGCTGGCACTAAAGGCATGTGCCACCACCACTGCCCAGAGGCCTCCTGTTTTTGACAGACGTGATTTACCTCTGATCTTGACTGGGAAGGGTCTCCCCCAATGAACCACACCCCCACACACCCAGGGGCCTTAGAGACTGAATCATCTTTGCAAAGTAAGAGCTTCCATAAGGCAACCCAAAACCCTGCAGGCCAGTGTCTTACACTCCTGGCCAAGGCTGAATACGCCTTCTTGGCTGTCAGCCACTAAATTAGGGCAGAAGTTCAAGGCTAGACTTGTAGCTGACACCAATCAGAAGATTGCCATGGTCATTGCAAACATACTGTGTGGGTCAGGGTCACAAACCCTGTGTCTACAGGAGCCCCACAGGAAACAGAGCAGAGGGCATTGGGCTAAGTTCTGAGAGGGAAAACGGCATCTGGGGTCCCTGTTTATCCACCCCTGCCATGTAGAAATGTGGGCTGGTGGGGCCTGATGTGCCACAGTGTGTTTTTGTTTTTGTTGTTGTTGTTGTTTTTTCCTGAGAAGTTAGAAATCTGTACTTTCAAATATTGGCAACTATTTCAAGTTTAGAAAACACTGTACAGGCCAAAGGAAGCCTATCTTGTCGGCTAAATCTAGCCCTCCAATCTCTAGTTTGCTCCTACTGGCCCCAGCCCAGGGAATTGGGACTTTTAGACTCAAGTAACTGAGATTAGAAGGACGTTACCCTCAGAACCACAGCTTGGGGTCTTTATGAGACCTTGGAGACAGTGTAGAACATCCCCGGTGTGTTTTAAAGGCTTGGGTACAAGCTGGACGTGGGGCACACACCTGTTAGCCCAGCACTGGAAGCTGAGGTTGAAGGATGCTAAGTTCAAGGCCAGCCTGGCCTACCTATCAAGACCCTGTCAAAGAGCAAAACAAAACAAGAACCTGAATGTCACTGGCTACGGTGGTGGCGCACGCCTTCAATCCCAACACTCAGGAGACAGAGGGAGGTGGATCTCTGTGAGTTCAAAGCCAGCCTGGTCTACACAGCAAGTTCCAAGACAGTCAGGGCTACGTCGTGAGATCCTATTTCAGAACAAAAAACTGAATGAATGGGCACAAACTTCATTTTTAAATTAACACACCTATAACCTTAACTTCCAATTTCCTTTTTCAATAGTGTCGTAGTGTCCCCTGTTTAGAACAAAGTCAAGAATGAAGCCATAGCACATAAATAGTGTGCTGAACCACCTAGCAGTAGCTTTCTGCTTACCTCTATTCTCCGCTGCCCTGGGCTCCTTCCCCTGACCCCTCTGGCTTGCTGTTCTTCATCAACCCCCAAGTGCCTCCT